GGTACGAGATTGAGTACTTGTTGATTTGGCGTTGGTGCTGAATAACCATGTTCTTCTCGTGGATGGTTTCCAGCAGAGCTGTGGCGAGGGACTTGAGGTCTGAGATGGACTGAGGAGTCACCGGCAAGCTGCAGCCGTTTTTCTTCAGACAGTAACAATTCCTACACACAATCATTATTCTCAGTTAAAATACAGTCACCATGTTAGGCTTTCTACAAATTAAGGTTTATAAAACTGCATTTTCCTTCAAAGCTTGTGTAATGTCTACATGTGCATTTTGTTTTTTAATATATCTGATCCTTCTGACCTTGTTTAGCAGAGAGCACCCCAGTCAGTACACTAATGTTAGGTTTCCCACAGATTTTAGAGGTTTTCCTGCAGTCCAGCGGACTCTGAAATCAGAGGAATTATTAGGCATGATACAGAAACTGCCCTCCTTGCTGTCACTGAGGAACTGCACACTGCTAAAGCAGCCTCCCTCTCCTCCTCCATCCTTTTGGACCTGTCTGCTGCATTCGACTCGGTGAATTATCAGATCCTCCTTCGCACTCTCCAAGAACTTGGAGTTTCAGGCTCTGCACTTTCCCTCATCACCTCATACCTCAAAGACCGCACCTACAGGGTTACTTGGAAAGGGTCGGAGTCCGACCCTTGTCAATTAACTACAGGGGTCCCTCAGGGCTCTGTTCTTGGTCCCCTCCTCTTCTCCTTGTACACAAACTCGCTCGGATCTGTCATTAGCCCGCATGGTTTTTTCATACCACTGCTACGCTGACGACACCCAATTAATTCTGTCCTTTCCCCGCTCAGAGACCCAGGTCGTCGCACGCATCTCTGCTTGTCTAGCTGACATCTCTCAGTGGATGTCTGCTCATCACCTCAAGCTCAACTTTGACAAGACTGAACTGCTTTTCCTTCCGGGAAAAGATTGTCCCACTCTTGACCTAACAATCAACATCGGCACCTCTGTTGTTTCCCCGACTCAGACTGCAAGGAATCTGGGTGTGATCCTAGATAACAACCTGTCCTTCACTGCAAACATAGCTGCTACAACCCACTGCTGCAGATACACGCTTTACAACATCAGGAGGATACGTCCCCAGCTGACCCAGAAAGCGACGCAGGTTCTGGTCCAGGCTCTCGTCATCTCACGCCTAGACTACTGCAACTCCCTTCTGGCTGGTCTACCTGCATGTGCCATCCGACCTCTGCAGCTCATCCAGAATGCAGCGGCTCGTCTGGTCTTCAACCTTCCTAAATTCTCCCACACCACGCCGCTCCTCCGCTCCCTCCACTGGCTTCCGGTAACTGCTAGAATCCACTTCAAGACAATGGTACTCGCGTACCATGCTGCGAATGGATCTGGCCCTTCCTACATCCAGGACATGGTTAAACCGTACACCCCAGCACGTGCACTCCGCTCTGCATCAACCAAACGGCTCGCTGCACCCTCGCTGCGAAGGGGACCCAAGTTCCCATCAGCAAAAACAACGTGGGTTTGCTATCCTGGCTCCAAAATGGTGGAATGAGCTCCCCATTGACATCAGGACAGCAGATAGCTTACACACCTTCCGGCGCAGACTGAAAACTCATCTCTTTTCGACTCTACTTCGAGCAATAGAACTATTAACAAAGCACTTATATACTAATAAAGGACTGGCTTACCTAAAGCCAGTTGAGTAGCACTTGAAATGTTTTTGCTCTATGAAACCTGATGTACTTATATGATTCTGTTTTCTTCAAGTTTGTATTTTGTTGGTCGAACGCACTTATTGTAAGTCGCTTTGGATAAAAGCGTCAGCTAAATGCAATGTAATGTAATGCATGAGAGGTTTGTGATCTGAGAGAAAGGTAGTTTGAAAAAAAAAGGAAATTCACATTTAACATTTGCAAAAAGTGAAATGGTTTCATTTAATTAATAAGTAGTTAAAAATACTGTAAGAGTAAGATATTTAACAAATAAGAAAATCACAATAAAATATGTAGCTACCTTGTACTTCACCAGGTTTGATTTGAGCAAGTGGATTTCTTCTTGAAGTTGACAGAAACGCTCATGCAAATACCTGGGATACAATTATAATAATAATGATAGTATTAGAAGCCAATCAATAAATGTACATTCACATTTTATCATCATCTTTTTTAATTTACCAGCTGATTAAACATAAATATACAATCCAAAGTTATAGATTGACCTTTAAACTGTGAAACAACTGTTGCAGTCACACAAACAAGTGACATTTTTATTTTAAAGAAACAAACCTGTTCTCCATGCAGAGTGCATCGACGTCTAAAATGCGTTTCTCATCGTTGCCCAGGATGTGGTTGATCTCGAGCCGATGAGCCTTCTGCTGAAACACGTCCCGCTCCGCTCGAACGTCCTGAAGCTCGTCTGTGAGCGACTTCACGCTGTGCTCCAGGACCTCGTTCTGCAGACACACAAAACATACCAATACATTTGTGATATACATTGTAAGTTCACCTCTCTAAGAAAGCCTCCTATAGTTGGATAGTGTTAGTAAGAAAACTAACTATGTCAGGTTGGACTACATTTAAATCTAATAGCAAAGTTGTTGACATTAGGAGGTCTTTTTGCTTGAATAAGTTTAACCAGGTCATAAATACAATGTCTCTCTATACTTACATACTGTTACAAAACTAATGTTCATATTTTAAATGCAGGATTTTAAGAACATTTTTACAAGTACTACTTCTGTTAAATGTCATGATGCATTCACCAAAAGCCATTAACTGAAAGTCACCTTCATAATCTAAATGATTGCATTAAAACAAATAAACAACAGGAAGCAGCCCTCTCACCTGCTCTCCGGCTCTTTCTAACTGTCGGACCAGATCCTCTCGCCTCATGAGCAGGAAAGTGTTGAGTGCCGACCTCCTCGTCTCCAAGCCTCTGTTTGGTGATGGTCATTCGTAAAAGCTGTTGGGAGAGAGATACATCGTTTTGTATTTTGCACAGTTTTCCAGTTTTCTGCTTTATTTAATCTGATAAACCTCTTTTTCTGCATGAACTTTTATGCCAACTCAAATCAGATACATTCTTAACTATAAATGTTGGTAATATATGCAAGACCGAAAAAGAGAATTATTCATATTTAATTTAATTGCAATGTCCATTATGTTGAACAGTGTTTACCTTGTTGTCACCCAGGGTCGGCTCTAGAACAAATCGAATGGGGGGGAAATCATTTACAACGGGGGGCACACACTGCCGTCAACAACCAATACACAAACACCATCGCAACTTCAATTTCAAAACATGCTGTAAAGTCTCTTGTTTTCACACACATTGCAGGGATGTAGTGCTATTTTATAGCGCACCTATGACTTGTGCATACATGCACGGTTGTGGCACGACCACCAAAACAGAAACATATGGACATAGGCCACCATATAAAAAGTGTGCAAATGTTTAGTATCCTATCCATGTGAACATGTTTTAGGTGGGTGATGGACCTAACATCCTGTAAGGGAAGATTTAAATATTGAAGTTAAAAGCATCAATCTGGTGCACTTTGAGAGCAAAATTAAGAGATCTATGGATACATCTGTCAACACCCATAAACAGAATGTAAGCAGATTTACTTTTCTTTATTTTACAAATCACTCCCCTTTAAACTGTATTCTTCTTCAAATAGCTGTCCTGTAGTATTTCATACCTGTTTCTCATGTATTCTCTTGTTTTTTAATAACTACAATGATCATATCAAGGTGTTCCTCGGAAATACTTCTTTACATAAATGGTGACCAAACCGTTTGAGACCCACTGAGATAATAATAATAATGCATTTTATTTATATAGCGCTTTTCACAACTCAAAGACGCTTTACAGTAGATGAGGGAGGGTAGACAAACAAGGACAGATAACTTAAGTTCATTATCTAAACACTGACAGAGTCCTCCTGACCTTACCTCACTGAGCTGTAGTTATCTGAGCCTCTCAGTCTGACAGGAGAGGACTCTCCTCCCCACTTGTTGTAGAAACAGCTCTTTATATCCGTTAGCATAGCTAGCTAACCAGATGCTAACAACAACAAAATGCGCTCATGCCACACATACATAGGATAGCCGAGCTTGAATGACACACAGAGACCCAGAAGTACTTGTACTGTCTGTATCATATTATTTTCGATGGCTTTACTGTATAATCAGTATAATAGATGAACAGATCGCCACTGGGTTTACAACCAAACAGTCAGCCACGTAATGACAACAAAACAAAGGTCGGGGTCATTGGTCAAGCAACACACCAATCAACGAGCAGCAGTGAGCACACCTCAGGCTGTGTTTTTTTTTGTATTCTTTATTTCTGATTTATTTCACACAAAAAACATTGTGTGGAAACGTTTTCACTTGCCTGCCCTGCGTTGGGGGGGGGGGGGGGCACAGTGACTCGTTTGGGGGGGCATGGCCCGCGAATGACCCATGAAGACGACCCTGTTGTCACCTTGAGCTTCCACCAGGCGTTGTTTCAGCTCCTTCACCTCCTCAGAAAGTTCACTGCTCTTGTCTCTGTCCCTCAGTAGCTGGGCTAAATTCACCTGAAGAGGACATGAAGATACGATCACTACCACTACACAGACTTATAATTGGTCTGTTACATTAATATATCCACGATAAACAATTAAAGATATAGGATATAGAACAATACTTTTATGTTAATAGCCATTTCAGCCATTTGAAGTATACACACACACACACACACACACACACACACACACACACACACACACACACACACACGTCAAAATCACTTAGGCCTACTTGATTCCTTTTCTCAGGAGGCAGAGTGGGATTTCCATCCTGTTAGTAATAAAAACAAGGGAATGGTCATTTAATGCAAATTGTAGAACATTTATTTTTGGACAAATATTTTCTGTTCTGCCATTTATTCCTTCCATTTTAAAGTTTGGCTGCAGCACGGTAATTGGCTGCTGGAGAATGAGATGAAATGTAATAGGTTAAAGAGACGCCCGTGATGAGCTGATTATATGCAGCTGCGGAGTGAATGTAGCCTATAGTATATAGGCCTACCCAGTCTTCCTGAAAGAACTTGCGCTGAACTTCATATCCACTATAAACACGAAGGACGAGTTTTTGTTCAAAGAAGGTAAGTTAGCTTCAGCAGCACGTTTGGAAGAAGTTGCATTATGTCTAACTCGTGAAAAGACGGTGCTCCACCCTTAGCAAAGAGTAAACAACGCCTACTAGACAGTTATACAAGATTTGTTTTGACATTTTTGCGTTTGGGCTCGACAGGCTTCAACAGGGTAGAGTGTATCATCAGTAAAGACCTTTCAACAAGTTGTCATTTTTGTTGGGATTTGTTGACCTAACATGCGTCTACACGGGTAAGTCGATTTTAGGCTGCCTGAAGTCTGCGTTTTGCTCTTAATTAACTCCATCTGCAGAGTAAAATATTGCGACATTGTATTTATTTATCATGTAGCCTACACTTCATTTAGCTTTTTCAGATGTGATAACCTAAAGATATGACGATAATGTGACTGTCTTACTGAAACCACCCAATTGTATTAAGAGCTCAAACATTTCTGCAATATTAAAATCCTTCTAACATGTTGATGAATAACCCATAATGTGAGTTTTTTTACTTGTTTTTTTCCGAACGGCTTTGAATAATGCATGACTTTTACCAGGAACAGAGTAGTTATACAAATGCTACTACTTTAACTTAAATTAAGGTATCTAAATACAGCAATCATGTGTATTGTCATGCAACACATGATGAGTTTATCCATTTGAGGCACTCTTAACAATTTTAACATTTTTCAGGTCAATGAATATACTAGGAGCAGCAGTGTTGGTTCTGCTGGCCGGCTGTCAGCAATGTGTCTCCACTGACACTCCACCAGATGTCAGGCAGAACAATAGTACTCTGTACGCAGCCTGCAAAATGAGACCCAGCACCTCACTCCCTGAAGGCCTGCCAAAAGTGTACGGTCAGGTGCTGTTTAAGCAGGACTATCCTGAGGGGGAACTCAAGGTGCTCCTTCAGTTCAGTGGCTTCCCCACAGAGAGCGCCCCAGTGCCCAGAGCGGTGCACATCCATCAGTTTGGAGACCTGAGCCAGGGGTGTGACTCCACTGGAGGCCACTACAACCCACACAGCGTACACCACCCAGACCACCCTGGGGACTTCGGTAACTTTGTGGCTCAGAAAGGAAAGATCAATACGATGATAGAGTCTGAGGCCACGCTGTTCACAGGGCTGTCTGTGATTGGAAGAGCCGTGGTGATCCATGAGGGGGAGGACGACTTGGGGAGAGGGGGGGACGCTGGGAGCCTGCTGAGTGGAAACGCAGGCCGGAGGCTTGGCTGCTGCATCATTGGGATTTCTCCCCCCAGCCTCTGGAATATGAAGTATGAGGTGTATAATAAACGTAAGCTTGTGGATGCTGGCATGTAGGGCAATTAAAGAGACGTTTCCTTGATTAACTCATTGATTGTATCCCTTGTGTGGCTTATCAAAAATGGTGGGAAAGTGTCTTGAGAATTCAACTGCTCCTAAAATAAATGCTTCCTTCCTTTAATCCTTGGTGATTTTCTGACTTTTCCTTAAACAGCATCATCGGTTTACATTTTAGTTTATGACCAAAGTAGCGACACTACCCGAGCTAAGAAGGTTAACATGGTATTCATTACAAATGTTCATTTGCATGTGAATGTCATTTCAAATATATTATCACACTTACAAAAACCTCCATTACATCTGTGCAGGTTTCTATATGATTCTATACTTAAAACATGTTTTTATTCAGTTAAATCATTTATTTTGCAGAAATAAATCCATGTTGTGCACATTCAACACATATACACACTTGTGGTATTTCTGATGAGTTAATACTTTTTTGCTACAAAACATGACCAAAACGTCAGTGCTGGTAATGTTGTGGGTTCTTTGTGTAACAGACTAGTTAGTTCACTAAATGTTATCTTAACTACATTTATGTTCAAAGTCAACTGTCCTTAATAGTGTCATGCAGCATTCTATATAGCTGTGATACATTTGTTTTGTGAAAGTGTTTAGCAAAAAAGCAAAATATCCCACATTTATCATTTGAGAATAATAAATGAAGTGTTTTGGAAATGTTTGCATTGTTTTTAAAGAAAATAAAGTTGCTGCTTAAGCTAAACATCTGGCTGATTTATTTGTTGTAGAGATCTTTAACATGGTTTCCTAAATGTGGACAGAGGTAGAAAGATAAAGGAGAAATCCTAAGCAACAACACCTCTTTAAGTTCATGACAAATGCAATTACACGTGTCCCTTTATTTTTGTGTTAGTTCTATAGAAAACCTAAATCAGTGTCTTATTCCAGAGTCAACATTAGACATGTTATTACACTTACATTCTCCTTCAATGTTGGGTTCATATTCAGTCTTAAGTAAATCTCAAAGACTGACATTGTGTCAATGCAGAGAAATCTAAATCATCCCACCTGGTCAAACTCTATGAAACACAAATTCGACAGCCCTTTTTTGCTACTTTTTAAACGAACTTGAATCATAGTTCCTCCCGCTCTGATACAAACGCATTATAAAGCTTCAAACTTTCTGGCTAAGGTTTGGGTTTCCTGTTTTAGGAAGGAAGAATCTCTGCCAAAATGAGCTCCAAAAAGTTTTGGAGGCTGTTATAGCAGCGTATTGTTCAACAATCACATGTGGGTGTTACGCTCAGGTTTCAACATTCTTTGGACCATTTATACATAAGACTCAAAACAGATCAAATTAAAGCATAAATAACATTGTTGGTTACTGACAGTGGACATATAGATATTTGTTTTGTTTCTCAGGAGGCGTTCCCGTTCCTCTGACAGGGATATATTCATTTTTCTACTGTCAGTCAATCGTAACAACTCAGGTGTGTTTCATTATTCATAACAATGAATCAAGTAGCATTAATAATGTATCAATTATCCTCATGTTTCTGAGGATTTCTCCTGATGCTCTGCACCACGAGAGCGGCTCGTGGAAGACTTCACATTTCCTGACTTACAAACATCTGTCTCCTCTGTAAGCTCTGTCTCCCGGTTTGACTGGACGTCCTCCTGCTCTTCTTCAGCAGGTGACATTGTGCTATTGATGTTTTCCTGTATCAAAATACACTCTGTTTCAACATTTTCAGTGCATTTCTCTGACTCTTCCTCACTTTCTCCTGTGGGGTCAGAGTTCTCTAAAGTTTGCTGTATGTGGCAGAGGTCTGACGGATGTTGTGTTGGAGAGGAACACTCCTCACACACTCCTCTTCTCTTGACTGCTGAATGGTTAAATCCGTTGTGACCTGTGATTGGCCGATGTCAGGACACTCCTCACTGTCTGGTGTTTGTGTCTGAGGGCTGGCTGGCTCTTCCTCGGCTGGTTGGCACGTTTCCTCGCTGGACGCCGATGGTGCCTCCACGAGAGGCTCCTCTCCATTACCTGACACAGCGGGGGGTTCACTCTCTTGGATGGAGATTTCTGTGGAGCTCTGCTGATCCACGGCTATTTCTTCTGACACTTCATCACCTATATGAATAGAAGATTTAAGAAATGTAATCTCCGCAACACAGAACCATAGATGGCGTACACTGAGAGAAGTTTAGGGCACATTTATCCCTCACCTTCCTTTCCAGGAGACTCTGTTGTCTCCGCCTGCTGAGTGTTCAGGATGATGGTTTATTTCCTCCTATTATGACAAAATATAATTCAAAGTAAGCCTTAATAAAAGCATGAGACATCCAGAAAGCTGTATGCAGTGGTGGAAAATGACTACGTCCATTTACTTTACTTATGTCCAATTTTTTATTATTTGTACTACATGAGAAATTCTACTCCACAAGTCAACAAATGTACTTAGATTTATTTTATAAGTTAAGTTACTGCTAATAATGCAACATATTAAAAACACCATATAATGTATTGAATTGAATAACAATTACTTGGTGATATTTATAAGTTATTCAGCAGTATTATTTAATACAAAATAATCGACACCTTATAATTATACCACATTTTAATGCATCAACAATTATTTTGGTACTTTAAGTATATTTTGATGCTAATACTTTTGAATTCAGAATTGCTACTTGTAATAAACTATTATTCTACATATTCTATTTCTATTAAAACATCGAGTATGAGTTCCAACAATGCTTGTCACTGTTGTATTGAATAGAAAAGAGTACATTAATTTGGGAAAGTATGAGAAGTTATTGAAGAAGATGAAGTTTGCATGTTAAAAAGTATTAAGAGAAAGTGAGAGAAACGTACTTCCATAAATTCCCAGAGACACATTATAAGTCAGGCCTTCAGGAATCAAGAAGCAAAAGGACAGAAGGAAGGATAAGGCATGTCAATTATTGTAAAAAGCAAGAAGAATACACATTTCAATGAAGCACATTAGTGTCAGTATATTAAAGGGGACCTATCGTGAAAAATGCACTTTTGTACGTCTTTTATGCATGAATATGTGTCCCCTGTGTGTCAGGGAACTCACCAAATGTCAGAAAACACAACCCTCTCTCTTTTCCTCCATACCCAAATCTCTAAAAATGGGGCTGCAACGGAGCTGATACAGATTTGAATTTCTCTAATGTCAGAAAAGGGGTGCTCCGCAGGGGCGTTGCCTGGGGTAGGCATCCGGGGCTTTAGCCCCGATGTTTCTTTAGCCCCGGACAAATTCTCCCTCAATAATATAATACATTAACCTACTTTACCTATAGGACGGACGGCGCAGAAATGTAATTTCCCATGTTCTGTGAATGCAACACAGAGGCAAGACGACGCCACCAGACCAATCAGAGAGTTGCATGGAAATAAACGTGTTTTATTGGCTGACAGATACGTACCTCTCCTCTGTGACAATGTTTAAACTTTAAATTGTCAGCCCCGGACGCGGAGATTCTGAAGATGGACATTAGACATTTTTTTAATAAAAAAGACGGCAATTCTCAAGTGGTGGCTCACACAACAACACCCCAGAGCCACCACCTGAGCCAGGTGAACAAGGTATGTACCTGTCAGTAAATGTACAAGTTATGCGAACATGTAAGCAAAGCATAAATTACAGCTACGTTGACGTTACTTTGAATCGCGCGGGTAAGCTAAACCGTTAGCAAGTAGCTATAGCTTGCCAGATATATTAAATAAACACTTTGTCATACAATATAAATGTTGTGTTTTTTAGCGTTACTTGGTGATTTCAAAGAAAGCTCTCTGGGAAATGTTGACTTACTGTCAGTGTTCGACATGAAGCTAGAAGCTACCTTACACAGTTGATCCTGATTCCTTACTCACAGTTGGTGATTACTTTCCTGCATTTCAATGGACAGCATATACAAAGGACATGTGAGCTTCATTGCTTAAGAGATCCTCACATGCTATCTCTTTTAAAAAAGAAGTGTCCAGTCAACAACAAAATATCAGTGATCGTATAGTGATAGTATATTTTTCATAAGCGATGTGAAACATTAAACTTAAAAAAACTCTGTGAGGGCCTAAGATATTCTACAAAATAATAAAAAAAACAAGTTATATTTTTCATTAGACCAAAATAACTTGATTTAATTGTATTTAAAATAACATTTCCAAAGAAATAAATCCTTCGAATCTGCCTATTCCGTTTCTCTTGGAATGTGAAGGGTTAAATGAAAGAAGCCCCCTCTGCGAGTCTGTGAAGATAGGAGCTGTTGGACGTCCAGCTATGAATTCACAGAGGGCCCGCTATAGTAACTAAAACGAGAGAGTAATGTCAAATGACAGTACAATTGACCAATCATATCTTCCCTCTAAATGGGTGGGTGTTATTATCGCGGACTTTATGACAAGTTCCGCCCGCTGTGCAACTTTTCTTGTTTCCATAGCAACAACAACTTCCTGTCAACAGCGTTAACTCGCCTTCAAAATAAAAGCATGCCAAATTACACTTAAGACATACAACTGCAACGAAAGTAACAAACACAATGCAATATCCTTTTCAATTTCAAAGAACACAAATAGGGTTATTTACAGGTGTTGTTTTGTGTGGTAGAGGGTCGCTTTCATTGATGCGTTTTGCACCCCGGGCCGTTGTTTTGATATACCGCTGAAGTATACTCTGCTGTGACATAATAACTCGAGGGAAGGGGTGGGGGTCAGAGGGCCTAGGTATAAAAGTCACGGCTCGCCACTGCAAATAGCCAATCACACAAAAAACATATTGCTGTGACTGTGAGTATTAAATATTAACATTAAACAAAACAAATGGACCCACACGTGTGTGATCACAATTGTATGTTTATATTTAATATCATTTTAGAAACATGTT